AAATATAAACTTTTCACTCTTTGAGTTCACTTTTTGATCCATAGAGTATAATAAAATGGGTCCATATTGACGGCGAAAGGTTTCTTCGTAAATTTCATGGTGGACACATCTCTAATTTTGTTAGTTGGGATCATGGGTTGATCTAGGGCTTGTAAGACTGTTAATAATCTGAGTAATTAGATATTGTTTATTGATTTTTGTATGTATTAATTATTTGTAGACCAAGAACAAGAAGAAGGAATCCATAAGGGGAAAATAAATTTTCTTAGGGTTTCAAGCTTGTTTTGAGGTAGGTGATGGTTAGTTGTGAATTCATAATTTTATGATGTATACATGTTTTGTTTCACTGTGATACTTGTATGTGTATGAATGTTGCAAGTATTTATTGTACTTGTTGTAAATGAGATAGGTGAATGATGTAGCAATAAAATCGTGATGTAAATGTATGATCTTGATGATATACTGTTATTGTGATTATGGTGAGAGAATGGGAATTCGATTGCCACGTTCTGACAAGTTCACTAGGATCGGTTTCCACATTCTGGTATAACATTGGATCGAGTTTCTACGTTACGGCAAAACATGGGATCAAATTATCACGTTTCAACAAGCTAAATGTTTGGGTGTAGTTTCCATTAGAGGGACGAATGATGTGGTGATAAATGTTAAATGTATTGTTGATTTTTCATGTTGATAATGTTGTATATGTTTTTATATATATGCATGTGATTATAATATTATATGACTTACTTATGTTTCACTAGTGAGATAGCCACGTGATCCTACCTATACACTGTGGTTGTGTACTGATTCTGCACTTGCTCTTAATTTTGTTGAGTATAGGGAAACTTCAAGCGGCTACTGACAGACCTCGCTTAATAGACTAGACATTATCGTGTCGACTCCAAGGGTGAGCCACATCTTCCGGGCTTCTATGAAGTTCTCTTTCGTCTAATTTCACCATATTCGGACTTAGACCTTCGTTTTAGTCAGACGATTAGTCTATTAGTAAATCTTGTTTAGACTTGGATCAATTGTTAGATGTTTTGGTACATTGATTTTCCGATTCTAGGTTTATCTTCAACAATTGTAAATTAGTTCTTTAAAATTATTATTAAGGTTTAGGAGAACATCTTACCCAACTTATTTAACTTGATTCTTTAACTTAAATGCCTTATTTATAGATTTTTTGTTTGATTAGATGGTAGTAGTGGTTCTCCCACCCAAAAGTTACTGTAGGTGCCGATCACGATGGCCTGGGTCGTGACAAAGTTGGTATCAGAGCCTAGGTTCATTGATCTTGATGTACCGAAACGAGTCTAATAGATTCATGTGGAATGGTACGGGGACGCCTTTGATTCTTCTTGTGATATAATGATCAACGACACTGACATTAGTCTGAGTTTCTACGAATCGAAGCAAGTATAGTAACCCAACCAAGGGTTGGAGCATGTCCAAAGGGATAGGTAGTGAAAATAGTAGCTAAACTAGAATTTTTATACTAGTTAGTAGTATTTTAAGAAATTATCGACTCAAGACACAGTAAATTTAATTTGTGACACCAAAGTGTAAAATATCAATAGTGTTTTCAAGTAGTAAAAACAATAAAAACAAAGGGGAATCGAGTATGGGGAAACGTTCTTAGGGTGTGACCGCAATATATGCTGAAGTAAACCGTTGGGTACATGCTTTTGATAGAAAATTTGAAAGATAATGATGACTAGGCTAAGCTTTAGGTGGAAGTAAATTCTCTCTCGGGCAACTTACCCCATATCATATAGATTTCTCTGGCACACCCACTCGTCTAATGAAGACCAACCTACGCCTTATGTCTCGGTTGATTGTATAGCTCGAGTAGTTAAGCTACAGTTTCCTAATGAGCCAATTATTAAGTGGAGGAGCAGTTCAGTCAGTGCCTAAGGGTTATTCTATTTCATACCTTAAGGACAAAAAGTTAGTTTCCAAGGGTCCATCTGTCACTTAGTCCGAGTTAATGACTCTACTGTAGAGACATCACCTATTTAGTCAACTTCACTTGTGAATGAGTTTCCAGAGGTCTTTCTAGATGATCTGCAATAGTCCTTCTAAGATAGAAAGAGACTTCGGTATAGATAATTTTTTGATTCTCGACCTATCTGCATTCCACTATATAGAATGGCTACGACTGAGTTGAAAGAGTTAAAAGAACAGTTGAATGATCTTCTTGATAAAGGTTTCATTCAACCCAATGTCTCACCTTGGGATACTACCGTCTTATTTGTGAGAAATAAAGATGATTGTCTTTATATGTGTATTGAGTACCGCCATTTGAATAAGTTTACTATAAAGAATAAGTATCCTCTTCCGAAAATTAATGATATTTTTTATCAGCTTTTAGGGTGTCACTAAGATAGACCTTAGATCTGGCTATCATCAGTTGAGGGTAAGAGAGAGTGATATTCCACAGTCACCATTCAGGACCCGCTATGGTCATTATGAGTTTTTGGTTATGTCTTTTGACTTGGCTAATGATCCTGCAGCGTTCATAAACCTCGTTAACAAAGTGTTTAAGTCTTATATTGATATATTTGTTATCATATTTATTAATGGCATTCTTATTTATTCGAGGAATAAGGAGGATCATGCTAATCATGTTAGAGTAGTTTTTCACACTATAACAAAAACAAATTTCAGCGACAATAAATATAGAAATCAATAAAAGGGGTAAATTATTTACTAAAGTTAGTGCCATTAGAACCATTGTCACTAAAGACTTTAGAGACATATAGAAAGAGTGTTAATTGTCGCAAAAAATACATATTTTATAAAAATAATAATTAATTTCCGGTAATTTTCATTTTCTGTGTAGTGCCAAACTCTCAAAAATAGAGAGTCGTATGCCAAATTTTCCAAGTGTAAATTTTTCTTGGATATGTGTAGTTCTTAGGCCACATTGTATCTGGAAAAGGAACACTAGTTAACACTTAGAAGATTGAAGTAGTGCAGAACTGGCTCAGACCCACATCTCCAACGGATATTAAGAGTTTCTTGTGATTAATCGTTTATTATTGAAGGTTTGTTGTGGGGTTCACATCTATTTCATCCCCGTTTACAGAGTTGACTTAGAAGACAACAAAATTTCACTAATCCAAACATCCAGGAATTGTATACAATTTTGATGTGTGTAATCGTAAAAAAAATTTATTTTGAGTTTATACAAAAATAACTAAATTAAATAAGTGTACGCGTAAATCATACAAACTTGTAAATTATAAAAATCCGCAACATTTACAAATGAAGCAACTTAAATTATAGGTACAACCCGTAATTATGCGAACAATAGATATAAAATGTAATTAAGTTTATTATAATGGTTATTTGCAAAAGTTCCTCATAAAAAAATAAAACTAGTAAGAAATTGGTGGATTAGGCTATGATTCCGAATTTAATCCATTTCGATCCAAGTAACTTGGCTCGTTTATTTATTAACTCAATTCGATTTAACCTGCCCATATTCAATTTATCTCATTCATTTGACTAGGCTTGTTCAAAATCGAACAAAAAAATATTAGTTTAGCGATAATGGGTTATTTGTTCAATGGTTTCAGTAACAATTTTGATTTTTTATTATCATGAATTTCTTTTAAACGAGTTGAGATATTTTCTTAATGAGTTAGAGATAACCCCATTGTGAATTAAAAATTATATTCTCATACGTGTATTAATAAATCTTTTGAACTCTCAAATATTCTAAAATGTGAATATTTTTCTTTTGAACTAGATGCAATGTGTCAACTCATATTCATGATTCATTTGGTTTATCACCTTATTTATAAGTGACTTTTAATGAATTTCTATAGATTTAATTATAACAGTTAGACCGATGAATCAATCATCGAGCATCCAATATCGTAATAGTTTTACAACGATTTAGCATGTGTAACTACCAATAAATTTAACTGATAAATTTCGAAATCAAACCAAGACAATCAATACACCTCCCATCATTTGATATGCCTAATTTTCATCATTAAAATATATTAGCAATAAATAATTTTTACCACTAAATAATTTTAAAAAATTTATCATAATTTTTATTTGAATTATTAAAAACAATTCTAGGTACAAACTAGTGAATTATTAGCAAATGAATTCATATCCTAACAAAATTCGTTTATTCCCTAATATTGGGAGTCATCATTATAATTTAGATCTATTTAATATCTTGGCAGAATATGAAATAAAATGATGATCTTTTTTCATTTATATGGAACGAGTATTGCCTGATGAATATATTCTACACAGAAAAACGCTTGATTAATTATTAATTATAGAGTGATTAACTTGAAAATATATGAGAAAAAGATACGTAAAATATAATGTATATAGTCAGAGTTAGCTATTAATTAAATTTCATTAACATTTATAATCACGTGAATAAGCTATTATTAAAATCTCATTAATGCTAGACATGTGACATCTTATATTATAAGACTACAACTCAGACTCAACTAATTGATATAACTTAAGAATTAAGACTTGTTTTTATAAAAAAAAATTGAGTAATTATACTTATATACAATCATTTTAATTGGAAAAAAAACATAGTCTATTTGTATAGATGAGAATAATATATTGATTAACTTTGTAACTTAATATTTTTAATTAATATTAATTGATTATTTTAGTAGATGTAAGTGTGAATTGAGGCCTATTTGAATGAGAACAAAATCTATAACAAAAAGTAATTTAGCTACCCTTTTTTGTATAGAAGCTAGTAACGACATTTTGGCATATGATTATATCTTATTTTTTCTTCATTATAAATGGATTATCCTTTTTTATCTCTACTTTTTAGTTTTTCTGTTTTTTAATTTTTTTTCTTTTTGTCACCCTTCTGTATATTCTTTTCATATTTAATATTTATCATATCCAATCCCACATTTTTAAATTTTACACTTTGCCCCCATACAAGAAAATACTCTATATATAGCGTAACTTAGGGTACAATATCAAACCAAATGAAAAAGAAAAAAATCAATGGAGGTGGTGAGAATAATCATGTTTTTCCATGGGAAACTAATGATGGATGGCCGTACCTAAACTTGAATGGCAATCAAATTGGGATTGCAGTGACATTTGAGGGTGACAAGTTACAAGATCCAACTAGATTTGATACTTATCCACCATTGACAGTTGTTAATGAAGTGATTGAACCAAGTACCAATGCTGGAAAGAAGAGAAGTCCACCCAACCGAAAAAAGAACGGTAAGGAAATTGTTGAACCAAATTTTTGTATTGATGGAGCCGGAGATAGAGGAGGATTAAATCATGATTTACACATATGGATGGCGAGACAAAGGACAATGAAAATTGGAATTTTTTTCAACACTCTTCGTGCTTTGATTTCTAATATCCCTGCTAAGGTAAAACATATATTCTCTCAATTACATACCTTATTTTTTTATCATCCGATATGTTATCGATCGAAATAAAAATAATTCAATAAATTTTATTATTAGCTGAAACAATTTTCTTGTTATTTTTCTTTTACTGTCTTCCACAACCTTAATATATAATCATAATCAAGTCGTTGAGAATTATTGTAAAAATGAACAAGAAATTTTTTTTAAAATATAACTTGAAAAATGATTTTAAAAAATAATTCATTGGTTGGTTCATTAATCCTGTGATTTTAACATATCATGTCGAAGTCAAATTTGAATATCAACAAAAATGAAAGAAATATCCTTTAATGTTTCGAAACAAATTAAAAAAAAATAAAAAATTAGAGAGACTGTTTCTAGTAGACCTTGGACTCAATTGAAATAAGTTTATTTTGTGATATACATATTTTCCTTATTACTAATTTGTAAATATGTACATGTTAATTCTAAAATGGAATGATAAGACATATTTGGTTTTATAAAAAAAAAAAAAGAAGGATAAAACAATGTAGAACTTCTCATTTTTGTGCATATATAGTTATAAAAAAGAATCTTCACGAATTTCTTTATTTTTTCTCTTCTAGCAGAAGAATATGAAGCTTTGAGCATCATTCTAATTTCATTATAAATTAGTCAAAAATTTCATTTTGTTAGTCATATAATCATAAGTTCTTTGTAACTCAATGAAGTAATTAACAAGTATTAATATTTATATTACTTTAATTTGTATAATTAAACATATACAAAATCATTACACTAGTAGTAGCGTATTTCACTTGTTGTTACCGATAAAACTTGCTTATTTATCAATTTAATTACAAGTAACAACACTTTTTATGTATAAGTTGCTTATTACAATTAGTTTTATAAGAAATATAGTGGTCAGATATGTATTAATAGACATGGTTTGAATATTATAGATTCTAAATTATAGCATTTTTTGTAACTTTTACTTATTCAATAGATCTTTTTCATACACTAATAAATGACTTTTACTTCTCCTTAATCAGTGAAAATTATAACTTTGCTTCTAAAGTAGAAATTAAATTAATTTCATATTTTTTTAATATATGCAGGCTGATAAGTCTACAATTGTTGAGAAAGCAGTAAACCACATCCAAAAACTGCAGAATACTTTGGAGAAGCTTGAACAGGAAAAACTAGAAAGGCTTCAAGAACATAATGTAAGGTGTAGGAGTTCACAAAAATTCACTAATACTTGTAACAATTGGGAGAAATATCTGGGTGATCAAGGATCAACACATAATACATCTTCTACTACATCAACAACTCATGGTACCAATCCCCTTATGGTGAATAATAACATTCCAACAGGTTTTGTGACATGGAGTTCACCAAACGTGATACTTAATGTTTGTGGTGAAAATGCACATATTAGTGTGTGTTATCCAAAGAAGTCAGGGCTATTCACCTTCATTTGTTATATTTTGGGGAAACATGGGATCGAGATTGTGTCTGCTCAAGCTTCATCTGATCAATTCAGAAGCGTGTTCAAGATCCAAGCTCACGTAAGTCCTTTCATTTTCTTCAAAATAATATGTTGGTCATTTTAAAGATTTTGAACTAGGATTTTTAGTTAGCATACTCTCTGATTTACTTTACGTCTTTTTGTTTAAGTTATCAGGAAATTGAAGATATGACACACGTTAAAAAATGATTTAAAATTAAGGTTGTTTGAGAAATAGTTATTTTTTCTTTCATAAGTCTCGCATCTAATTAAACATTATCTTCACATGAAATAAAGGTTAAAAAGTATATCTATCTTCTTTGTTTAAAAAAATCCTCCTCTCACCTAGTTTCACCTTGAGGTCGAAACTTTCTATTTGCTACTACATATAGTATAGTCATAGATTATGCTTAGAAATTATTAAAATTGTTTAACCTGAGTGGAGTGTCTAACAGAAATAGTCTTTCTACTTTTACAAGATTATATGGGTAATCATGTGTATATATTACACTTTTCAGACCACACTTGTAATATTTTACTGAATATATTATTGTTATTGTTATTGCTTCATTATAAAAATATGTTTGATGTATATTCAGGCTAAAGGTGGAACTGGCATAGCTCAATACTCTGAAGCATCCAGAGTTGAAGAAATGTACAAGCAAATTGCGATTGAGATAATTTCATTTGCAACCCCCAAATGATGTGCATCAATTTAATCAGCCAAATACAACAAGGGTTATCATATTTAGTTCCAATGTTTATCCGACAGAGGATGGACAATTGTTGTCGTAAAGGCCATGATATTTACTTTTGTAGTTCTTCTAGTGGAGGTTGAATGATTACAACCATATAGGCTATTTTGTTTATGTTTGCATTTCTTTGTTTGTTGCCATATATGCATATTTCTTTTATAGTTTATTAGATTAAGGATGAACGATGTGGACGCAAATTCTATTTTATTTGCTTTTTCATTTCATCCAGTGGAGGAGGAACATCTGTCATCGAGTCAGAGGAATGAAAATTGTGGAATGTAGTCCCATTAAGTTTCTTCCAATTATATTTATAAATAGAAAAAATCTTGCTATTGGCATATGTTTATGTATTTTCCTTAAGGTTGTGTTTGGTATGGATTAATGTTTATCAACACCACGAACCAACTTCTATTTTCAAACTCCCACCTTATATGAATGATATTTGTAATTATGTTTTTTAATTAAAATTTAAGGAATATCAATAAAATTTATTTGACTTTAGAGCGCTCATAAAGAACCCCCAACCCCCCACCCCACCTAAAAAAAAGGTTATATTTTTCACTTTTCATTTTAAAAAACGAAGATACCACTCTAAGAAAGTTATTTAAAAAAATTTATGTAAAGAGAAATTGTCCTTTTACTCTATCAATCTTTAATTGAATTGTTGTTATACTATTGTTATGCCCCGAGCGAACACTTGGTCTAACGTACTTAAGTTAACAAAAGACTTAACTCAAAAAGAAGTAAGAATCATTCTGACAAAATACTTAAAAAATAACATGTGTTGGCAAAAAATGACACTTAATTTTCAAAATAGAACGTCTGATACGAAAAATAAAGAGAAATGCATTACTGATTATCTGACTGACTATCTGTCTATGAAGCCTCTATAATACTAAGATGAATATTAGGGAAAAATCTAGTAACATTCTATAAATGAAAAGAGTATGAAGCAATAAAAGTGTCCCTAATAAAGCAAGGAGGCTTACCACTAACTCTGAGTGCAACTGGATCAACGAGGTACTGGATGATCATCCTGGTAACCTGTGTCTGCATCCTGAGAGGATGAAGGTCAATTGGCATCAGTACATTGAATGTACGTGTTTACGAGTTGAAATTCTAAATAACATAGGCTATAAAGATTTTGAAAGAAACTAAAGAACTTACCTGGCTCAACATGACTGACTCATTTCAATGTAAAACAATTTAAGCACAAGTGCCATTTAAAGAAAAGTTGTTTGGAAAGATGCTGAAAATTATGATGTATACAAGAATACAAATAAATCTATAATTTATGTAAAATACAATTAAATTGGTGTATATATGTATATACATTTAATTTCTGTGGGAGTTTCCCTAACCGACAAATATCACTTAAGATCTAAAGTAATGATACATAGTTTTGCCTCACGCTGCTAGGGTCGTCCTACACCTTGCATTCGATGTAGAACCTGAACGTCCTAATGGATCCACTAGTCTATGCAAAAAACACTAAAGGACTCATCTAAAAAGTATGACCCATTTTCTACCCATGGTGGCTATATGGTATTGGGGGATCGGAGTTATCTGAACTCTCCTCCATATCGGAGCTCAATAATACTCCCCAAAAATATCATCATATTAGCTCTTATGTTTTTAAAACATACTTACTTCTGTGATTTGATATTATTGCTCAAAACTTAGCTCAAAAGTCAATCTTGGAAATTTCTGTTTCCTCTCTTGCTTTATTTAGAAAGCGATTACTCTTATCTGAAAACTTGCCCAAAATCTCTTTGGAAATCTCAATTTCCGTTCTTAACTTAAATGTGAAATTATTTATAAACTTTCAGGGAATACTTAGTTCCCTTATAACTTTTGAGAATTGAACTCAACTCTTTACTCTTTGCTTAACTTGAAAACTTAAGTCTTAACAAACTTCTAGGGATCCCGTACATTTCTTTGAACGAAAAAAGACTTCAATTTTTACTCTTTGCTCTGACTTGAAACTTGAGCCTTGCAAAGAAGTTAAAACATTTAATAAAGACTCGTGAAAACATTAAGAAACTTTAATTTGATTTGTTTCTTAACTTCTAGACTTAACTCTTAACTTCTTTGACTTTGATCTTAACTTTTTATAATTTGATTATGGATTCAAGGCTATGATTTACGTTCATTAGTGATTTATAGGTGTTTAGAAAACATTTGTAATGATTAGAATCATCGAAAGATTTAAATGTACCTTAGAAGGTCTTAAAAGGGTTAACTAGAAAAGCTGGATGAAAATGCAGATCCAGGCGCACTTGTGGCGCCGTTCCAGCCTCAGTTGACTGAGGCTTGGTTCCCGTGCACCAGTTGCACACCGTGCCAGGCCCTTGTTATTGCAGCCCTCGTTTGGCGCATTGCAAGCGTGACGCGACTTGCATTTTCCATGTGCGGCTGACGAATTTTTCAACTAATTTTCTAGTTCCAAATCGTCAAAACCTCCATGGTTTCATCCCCAAACCCCTACGATCATCAATACATTAAATACTCATCATATCTAAACCTAAAATAAAGTCTAAATCTACTAATCAATATCAACGGGTATTGAATCAATTCAACCAAAAAGGGATTAGACGAGATTTTCAAGAATTCTCTTGTAATCATGCAATCAATTCTAAAACTCCAGAATTGATATAAGATTGGTTAGCAGATGAATTAAACCAACACTATAGAGTTCACATACCTTGATAAGTATCACCATCAATGAATTCAACTCGAAATTCTTTGGTGTTCTTGGCAAAATCTTGATCTTTCTCCCTTTTTCTTCTTCTCTTAAATCTTCTCCCAAACCCTAAGCTTTGGTGAACTTTTCTACTCTGAACTAAACTTATTTTTAGCCCTGTTAAATCCTTAAAACGAATTAGGAAATAATTGGGTGAAAAGACTAGTTTTCCCTTCCTTAAATCCGAACTGGACTTTCCTTACCTCAATAACCCAACTTCCGTAAGGCATATATCCCTAATAAGATAATAAAATCAATCAAACTTAAAGCCGTTGGAAAGATCTATCCAATGGCTTCCTGACCATATACTGAACAAACTCTAACTCATCCCAAGCAAGAACTTATGGTTGTTTGAAAAATTTCCTAAAATTTATTTCTTAACTCTTAAATATTTCCAGATTTACCCCTTTCTTTCCAAAAGTTAAAGATTTTAGTTTCTTAGCTTATTCTAGGCTACTAAGAGTTACAATATGTTAAATTATCTCTCCCTTGGGAACATTATTCCTCGAATGAGATTTCTTTCCCTAAGCTAAGAGTACTAACATCAAGGTCAACACTCCAATAAAGTACTTAAAAAGATGATTATTACCTGGATTTGCATTCTCTCCAGATTCAAAGAGATGTGGATGTATCTTCTTCATATTCTCTTCAGCTTCCAAAGTTGCTTCTTAAACAAATTGGTTCCTCTAAAGGACCTTGACTGTCGCAACCTCCTTTGTTCTCAACTTGAACATTTGCCGATCTAAAATCTTAACTGGAATCTCTTCATAGAATAAGCTATCCTTTACCCAACATTTTCAGTTGGTACAATCAATGAAGGATCACCCATGCACTTCTTCAACATTGAAACATAAAATACCGGATGGACCACTCTAACTCTTGTGGTAGCTCCAGATCATAAGCTACATTGCCAAATCTTGTATATCCTATAAGGTCCAATATACCGGGGACTATGTTTCCCCTTCTTATGAAACCTCATAACACTCTTCATAGTCAAAACTTCCAGAAATACCCAATCATCCACTTCAAAATCCAACTGCCTCCTCCTAACATTTGTATAGTACTTTTGAGGACTCTGTGTCATTTTCATTCTCTCTTGAATCACCTTCACTTTATCCAATGCTTGGTGAACTAGATCATGTCCTATCAACCCTGCTCACAAACTTCGAACCACCAAATAGGATATCTGCAACTTTTCCCATGAAGAGCTTCATATGGAGTCATTTGGATGCTTAAAGAGTAGTTATTGTTGTAAGCAAACTCAATGACAGGTAGGTGGTCATCCCAATTCCCATTGAAATCAATCACACAATTCCTCAACATATCTTTTAAGGTGTGCATCGTATGCTCTACTTGCTATCTTTCTGAGGATTAAAAGTCATGCATAATCATCTTTGAACCCAAACCTTTCTTGAAAGACTTCTAGAACTGAGTCGTAAATTGTGCACCTCTATTTGAAATGATAGACACTAGTACCCCATGAATTCTCACTACCTCCTGAATGTATAACTTTGCATAATCCTTTGTCGAATGAATGTCCTTACCGTTAAGAAGTGGGATGATTTTGTCATTCTATCGACAATTACCAAAATCAAATAATCTACCTGCAAGACCTTGGTAAACCTGTGATGAATTCCATATTAGTCATCTCCAACTTCCATTCCGGAAGTTTTATGTTTTGAGCCAACCCTCTAGGCTTTTGGTCTTCTATTTTCACTTGCCGACAATTTAGACACTTGGTAACAAACTCAGCCATGTCCTTTTCATACCTTACCACCACTATACCTCTCTCAAGTCACAATATATATTGGCGGAACCTAGTTGAATGGAATATGTGGGCTATGAGTCTTCTCCATGATCCTTTTTTGAAGCCCATTCACCCTAGGCATACACAACTTACCTTTCTACTTCAGTACACCATCTCCCTCTTGTTCAAAAGTCAACACTCTTTGATTGTGAACATTTGTCTTTAAATCAAGAAAAATGGGGTCTTGGTTTTGCTTTTCTTTCACCTCTTACACTAGTGATGATTCTGCCCCATTAGTGACCACTGTTCCCCCTTCTGTGGAATCTATAAGCCTGACTACAAGGCATGAAAGTTTGTGCATATCTTTAGATAACTCTCTATTTTATTCCTTAACATCGGTGGTACCCTCCATAGATAATCTACTTAAAGAATTAGTAACTATATTATCCTAGCCTAGGT